TGTGGACGGCGTTTGTATCCACCTTTCGGGTAGCTGTTTATGTGCCTGACGACAAACTTAGAGTCTGAATTAGAATTGAAATCAGGCGGGTGGACTTAAAAAAGCGGCCATTGAGACATTACCCGTTTCGGGCATAGGTGTGTCGTCTTTGACCAGCTCCAGCCGGTTGGGTGCAAGCACAAACAAGAAGTGTCCACATTTTCCCTGCGATGCTGAGTGGCGAAATACCTCTGTGACTGTCACAGAGTTTTCGGCCTCCTTTACGCCTGCATATGTGATCGATGACCGCGTATTTGGGATCTTGGGGAACCTGTTATTGTCACCACATTTCATGGAAGAGTGAGGTCAGCTTGTCCATCTGTCGCACTCGTAGACTTCGGTCGAGACTGCGCTTTCCCGCTGCATACAGCTTTGGTTGTTTGTGGCATCGAAGGTGGGAGGTCCATGTCGTTGTTCGTTTCTACCTAGGAGAGTCTTTTGATGGCGGCTTCTGAGATTGTAGACGGCCGATAGGCGACGGCTCAGAATTCGGGGTTTTTCCGTAGTAAGTTTACAGTAGGTGGGCTAACTCATGAAATGTCAACCGGAATTCCCAAATGCGTTTTCGTTTCGAAAAGATTCATTAAGTAGGGATGTAAAACTAAGCCTCGTGCAGTATAATTCAATAATAATTCAGAATGCCGGCTTTTGAATAAACTTCTTTTCGGCTGCATACAAAAGCTGCACTCTGTAATAAATGAATATTATGTAGAATGAATTTTCTCCTGGATTTTCGATGTCTGTAAAAGGCCAATTATATTTCATGGAAAGCATGTATAAAAATATTCCTTCTTTCGCTCATTTGATAGAAAATTACGTCTTCTTCTAATTTTATGCTCAAAAGAGGGATATTATCCGGTTTTAAAAGTTTCTAATTGTTCGACTTTTAAATACCGTGAAATGGCCGTTCATAAATCGTCATGTCTCTGCATTTTCCACTGTGGCTTGTAAAGTCAACAATATGGATCAAATCCACTGCTAATGTTTATGAACCCTATGCGGTCCCCCTTTATTACAGTAGAAAAATGTGTGGTTTTCCGTAGGCGGGAAATGTACGGCTTTTAGTTTGGAAACCCTGAATGCAAATGTAACGACAGGTCGCGTTCAAAATTATTCGGGAATAGGAAAAGTTTTTGAAAACCTAATTATGTCCCTCCTTCATGCATAAAATTAGAAGAAGACGTAATTTGCTACCGAATGAGCGAAAGAATGAATATTTTTATGCATACGTTCCATGAAATATAATTGGCCTTTTAAGGGCATCAAAAATAACCGAGAAAATTTCATGCTACATAAGTAATCACTTTTTGCAGAGTGTTGCTTCTGTATGCCGCCGAAAGGACTTTCATTCGAAAGCCGGCATCTTGCCGTAACGGAAATATTGAAGAATTATGTTGCAGGCTGATTAGTTTTGCAACCCTACTTAATTAATCTTTTCGAAACGAAAACGCATTTTGGAATTTCGATTGACATTTCAAAAGTTAGCCCACCTACTGCAGATCCGATATCCTATTGAGCTGAGCAATGGCGCGGTTGCTTTGGCTGTGGGGCCGTTAGCCATTTCGGTTGACACGAAAAAATTCCCTAGTTGACTGCGATTTGTACATCTTTGTATTTCCTCGGCCTTGCGATCCACTCCCGCGTTTCGCATCCCCTGGAGTTGTGCCACATGTGGAGGGCTGCAGTTAAGTCACGGCGTCCCTCAGCATGATATGATAGTCCTGTTTCGCCCCGGAACTCTCACAAAAAGCCGCAAAGTGTTTGCTGGTAAAACGTTTTAGTTAAAGTTCAGTGCTTAAGAAACGCAGATTCGAAAACCGAGTCGTCCGAACCTAGGCCTGGGAGTATGGCCGGCGGGCGACGGTTTATAAGGCAGAAATGAAAGTCTTCGTTGTCTTTGTCCAGTTCCTCCTTTATCATTACCCCCAATTCCCACATCAGATGGCTGGCAGATTCGGAGAGTGGAGTAGTAGTAGTAGTAGTACTACTACTACTACTACTACTAATAGTAGTAGTAGCGGTGGTAGTAGTAGTAGTAGTAGTAAAAGTAGTAGTAGTAGTAGTTGTTGTAGTAGTAGTATTAGTAGTAGTAGTAGGAATAGTAGTAGTAGTAGTAGTAGTAGTAGTAGTAGTAGTAGTAGTAGTAATAGTAGTACTAATAGTAGTAGTGGTGGTGGTAGTAGTAGTAGTAGTAAAAGTAGTAGTAGTAGTAGTAGTAAAAGTAGTAGTAGTAGTAGTAGCAGCGGTGGTAGTAGT